AGCCAAGCAACACTGGTAGGGTAGGTGATGAGTTTGGTGCCATGTGTTGGGGCTCACGCCATGGCACATAATCGCGGGGCCTATGCGGTGACGTGGGAGGTGTGGCGTTAGCGCTGAGGGGCACGAAGACTGGGCTAACGGCGAGTGCTAGCCATGAGCGTGATTTCATTGTGTGAAGAGAGGTCGTATCAGGTTCATATTGCCCTAGGATCTGACTATGATTTTCGCTGCATTCAGAAGTGTGACTGCTGTTTATTTATGACAAATCAGTGCGGATCATATTGGCTAAGACAACTTAGGAGTATAGTATTCATTACTTTAACTTCTGTTGTGTGTATTCTTGGATGTAATAGTTGTTCTTTTTTATAATTTGTAGATTATTTTTTGTTCGGCTAAGTATTACAGTATTGGGACCATGTCGGACTAGGATTAGATTATGGTTTCAGTTGCATCTGACTTTGTTTTATTGATGAATACACTAGATTCGTATGTAAATCATTGATAGAGGGTAGAAAGTACATGGTGCATCTCCCAACCATGTATACAAGCTGGCGTCGCTGAGAGTGCAAGTTGAGCAGAAGACAAAGGGTTGCTCGGCAAAATCAGGTTATACGGTGAGAATTGTATCGAGCCCTTTGGCACCAGCACAAGCCTATAGACGCGCTTCCTCTTGGATGTCATGGATGAGACCGACCAATGAAGGGTACGCACCGTCTAAGGCAGCCACGTTGTGGTGCTTCCAAGTCGACCAAGCTGTGAGGATGATCGGTGTGCTCAGACCTTTTCAGAGGCAAGAGGGGGATGCCGTCGTAGCACCGAACCACCAGCCGAAGAAATTGGCCACACCATCATGCGGGTGGTGGTGAGGCAGCTCCATAACAGAATTGGGTGCCACGTGATAAGGGAGAAGATACACCCAACGAGGAGGTGATGCAGGCTCTCAGCCTCTTGGGAGCAGATGACATAGAGAGGATCATGTGGAAGCATTTGACTTGTGTCTGGTTTGTTGTTAGGATGGCCCTGTTTGTCGATGATAGTAGTTAAGACCACTTAAGGACCTCTTTGGTTCGATCAATTCTGAACACGGAGTAATAGAAAAATGCATGATTGAAATGAAATGCCGGAATTAATCCTAGAAGGAATAATAACGCATGAATCTACACTAGAAGTTGTGCGGTTGTGATGCAAAAAAAAGTGTGAACTTTCTAGAAATAGGTACATGGCATAGTTGTCTTGAAAACAAGAGGGGATTTGCATGAGTTTAGACTGAATGGAAATTTTTCATTTGAAATTGAATGCAAAATAGACCATACAAATAATTCCTATGGTTTATAGTTTTACAACCCAAAAAAACTATATACGATTCCTATGGATTGAATTCTCCAAAATTCTTATGGATTTCCTTTGAACCAAAGAAGTCCTAAGCGTACATATGTGCATTTCAATTTACTTACGTTTTGTGTATTCTTGAATGTATTAATAATTTCACACACAAAAGTATATGTGTATTCTTCAATGTAATAATGTGAGCTGCAATATCTCCTTGGAGCCATGGACCAATGCCATAGCCCACCTTTACATACTAGGAGCTCGCTCATCCAGTGCACTCTGCCGTTGAATATTCACTTTGGATACCATACATTGATGACTTCCAAAGGTTCTCAAAAGAACAACAAAAAAAAAAAGAATCTGTATACACTATGATTGCAAAGACGAATTCTAAATGAGTTTTTTGTTAGCCCTCCTTCCAAATCATGTTTCTTTCCACCGCATTAGAAGAAGACTTACAGTTTTCTACTGGCTAGTCCCTTTGTTTCTAAATATAAGTCCTTTTTAGACATTTCAATATGAACTACATACAGACGTATATAGATATATTTTAGAGTGTATATTCACTTATCTTGCTTCGTATGGAGTCCATATTAGAATCTCTAAAAATATATTTAAAAACAGAGGGAGTACAAGACATGCATGTACTCCCTTCGTTCCTAAATACTTGTCTTTCTAGGCATTTCAACAAGTGACTACATACGGAGCAAAATGAGTGAATCTACACTCTAAAATATGTCTACATATATCCGTATGTAGTAGTCATTTGAAATGTCTAGAAAGACAAGTATTTAGGAACGGAGGGAGTAGATAGTAGCAAAAGATGTACAGAATACACAATCTTGGACACTATATAGCATATCTACTACGGGAGTACATCAAAATGCGTGACGATCGCGAATATGTAGTATTATCTAGATTTCTAACGATACCAAACCCTTTCTTTGTTTCAGGCCTTTTAAGGCCCCTGGTCAGCAGAGGACCATCTACAATCTTTTCTCTAATCTTTTTGAGATGAAACTGTTTGCAGCCTTGTACTACTACATGAGATTGCTTCCTGAAATAAACTATTATTTCTGACAATTTCCCCAGACTTTCTGTGGGGCAAAAAGCCCTGCATCGGCAAAGTTCTTTTGAGGCGTGGTACGTATAGATGGACAGGTGCGTGCGTTTTGGACCGCCCTGGGCTCAGACCGTGCATCTGCATGCGCATGCCTGTCTGTGTGTATTTTCAGTCCGCGTACTGAAAGCATACCGATGCATGCAGAGCATACGGATGCATGGTCCATGTGCATGTACCGATCGATGTACTATTACTTCCTCCGTTACAAATTACTCGTCGTGGTTTCAGTTTGAACTAAAACCACGACGAGTAATTTGTAACGGAGGGAGTAGCTGAAACGGGTGAAGTCACGGACCAACAGAGACGACGTTACTGGGGTACACCACTGTATGGATGGATCGTAGTACAGGGGTGCAACGGGACAGCGGAGGAACGGTCGGCCTGCCCCCGCCCGGCGCATCGGAGGGCTCACGGTGCCAACGGCGGTGTCGCCACGGCAAAGCCAGCGCACGCACGCACGCACGCACACGGCAGGCACGGCGCGGAGCCGCGGCGGGGGACGACCGGACGAGGGCGACACGCCAGAGGAATACGGAACCCCAGGCACGCGCGTACGTGCGTGCGTGCGTGCGTGCGAATCCCTGCCCACGAATGCTGCCGCCCCGCCCGCGACGCGATCGCCCGCCGTCCCTCCCACGGCGGCGACCGCGCGCACGGGCAGCCGTTTTTCCAGGCAGCTCGGACGCGGCCACGTACTGCGCGCCCGCGCCCCGGCCGGCTTTCTTTACTCCTCTCGAGCCGGCACCGACCAGCGCAGTTAAGGTTTGGCCACGGCCCGGCCCCGGGGTCGCGCCAGTTTCTTTCTTTTTCTCTTCTCCCGCTCAGGTCCACGATCAAGGCCAGCCGCTTCTCCGTGGCGCCACCGGCCTCGGCCGGCGCGCGCTGTCCGTAGCCACCGTCGCCGGCATCGCGCTGCCGCCGCCAAGGGGAAGCTCCAGGCCCTCGCGCGCGCCACACGCCGCGAACGCCGGCGGCGCATCGTTGTTTGGGCGCGTACGTACGTGCGCGCGGCCGCCCTTGGCGCGTTCCGCCGCGTCGGGTTCCCGTCGAGGCATTTCTCTTGCGCGGGTCTGACCTTGGTATCGGCAATGCAGTGTCACCGAAGCCTTGAAGGCGATCACTAAAAAAATACGGAGCTTGGAGGTCTATTGATGTCCTTCTGTTCTCTACTGCTTGGTCGATCGTCCGCTGCCGGCTGCTAGCGCCTGGCTTGAGCGTCTTGGGACCGTCGTCTTTGGTGGTCTGGTCGCGGCTTGCAAGGGTGACGGTCACGGCCGGATGGGGTCAAGGACGTCATCTATACGGTGATTCTTGTGCTGCAAGGAGCTTGGTTGGTTAATTAACACAGGATGGATGGATGAGCCGTTTTTTAACCACTCGGCAGCAAGTTTGAACCGCGCACACTGGACCGCAGTAACAGTTTGATACAATCATGCAACATCCGGGGGAAGACTTGTATAGGATCTGCCCTTAGGTGAGATCAATCTTTTGTAGACATAACCTGCAGGTATGGTGTAAATTATTTTTTGTTAGTTGTAGATATAACCTGCAGGTATGGTGTAAATTATTTTCAGAATTTTTTGGATTGTCTAAATATGAAATTTTTAGGTTGATCCTATACTAGTCTTACCCGCAACATGTCTATTCTGAGTTATTCATTCATTTAGGATGAGCCGTTTTTAAGCACTCGGCAGTGGGATCCAACCATCTATCTAACACAAGTTTGAACTGCGCACATTGGACCGCAGTAACAGTTTGATACAATGGTACAGCATTCGTGTCTATTCTGAGTCATTCATTCAGCTCAATGAACCTTATATGGCGAGAGATGTGTATTGTCGCATATTCTGTATGCAACAACAAAAGGTCTTGTGTTATTTTGCTTTGTTATAAAAACAAGCATCCGTTATAAGCTCTGTTACGATCATGCAACATCAGTGCAGGTTCAGGACTGGGAGCAGGTTGATGTAAGTTGGCGCAGCCTTCTATCTTCTTTTGTTTAAAATTATATTATTATCAAGAGTACTTTACCCACAAAAAAAGAAGATATGAAGTGTACATTTACATAATTGATCACAATTTCTCTAAAAAAAAATTGATCACAATGATATCACATCAAAATGTATGATCTTCAACGATATCACTGTTTCCTTGTCTGCGCGCAGCAATACCAACATGGACTCCAACGGCTCTTGTATTTTTTTTGTTAAACAGCCGGCTGAATTCCAATGATACCTACAAGTTATTCGAGGACATATGTATTGAGTACAGTCACGGTGTTAGAGAATCATTTACAGAAAGCAGCACCTTGTGTGTGCATTTGCTCAGTGTTGAAAACAAATAAAGGGTTTGCCATTTACCACATCCAATTCTGGCTCCTGCATTTCCTGTTGACTTGCTGAGTTCATGGCCACCTACAAAATATTAAAGGAAAATAGTCAGGAGCAGTTAAATATGCGAATGCCGGCCAAGACCTATACTAAACAGTAGTACAAATGTTCACGAATCTGCAGTCGCCCAATGGTTACAGAAAACAAGGAAATACATGCTTGACGTTTCAAGTGCAGCAGAGCATAGGTAAGCTTGGATAGAGTGCAGAGGAAACCATCATCAGATGAAACAGAGCAAGTATCATACTCGTTTTAGAAATTCAAATTGAATGCAAAACGAGGTTAGATATGCAGGGTTTTTTCCCCAAGCATCCAAATGACTCCTGCGGCAAATTAACCCATGTAGCAGGACATGTATATATCACCCAACAGTGCTTGATAATTAAGACAACAGAACGTGGCAGATTGCGGCATAACTCATTACAAAATTCTCGTTTCATCCAAAGTCAGAACATTTTACTGCTACCCTATTGTCATTAACAGAGTACGAGTTCTCATCAAGCCTATGCCATGCACAAAACAAAACATACTTCAAAATACTGACTAGCCGTTCAGTGCCTACAAGTGTAGAATGACATAACCCATGGTACAGTAATCCTGTAACGTGGCGCTATCTTTGCCTGGTGTGTTCTGCTCTGCTGCTTGCAACACACCAAAATTTTCATACACTAATAGGCTTGAGCAAATCACATATCAGTTGGATATAGTAATCCATTACACTCCAGGCAAACTTCAGCAATCAGTCATGATCCAGTGTCACTCATGGTCCTGGTTTAATTCGGGAACTGAATGAACCATGCGCTCAAGGAAAGCCATTTAAGTGTATGATATCAACATTATATACAAAGTAACATCTTCGTTCAGCAGGTGCTAGTGTGGCACTATAAGTTACTTGCTTCAAACTACAGTGAATCATTCAATCATATTTTTTCTGAAAGAAGTTCCATCGATCTTATTCCTGAATATGTACATATAAAAGGAAGACCGGCCTTATTTTTACAGAAATATACATCTTCCAGTTAGGTTAAAATGCTTACCCTTTCCTAGGTCATCAGAATCAGCATGAACGACAACTGCCCTTCCCAGTATGGAATGAGGCCCCCTTAGTGAAATCTTCATACAACAACAGAAATGAATTACCAGTACATTATAAAATTATACCAAGATGATAAAAAAATATTTTACATCTTTCAGGGCAATGGAACCTGCAAGTCCTTTATGAAGATTTCTGCAACACCTGAAATAAACAAGTGGTGTGTTGTTAAAAACAGGGATTACTTCAAGGCAGTAACTTAACCCATAGTTGCCTTCCCCTAAAAAACTGTTGAGTAGTCATATAACTAACCATCCTTGTTGGCTTGTATGTTTCCCAGGTCGCCCACATGTCGTTCATCATCAACCGGTGCTCCATGGGACTTATTATGAGGATTGAAATGGGGTCCTGTTAGACAAATAAAATTGATCAGCACAGCATAAAGTTTCCACACAATGTACATTTTCTTCAAAACTTAATCCCTATCCATGGAATATGATGTTTGCAAGAAACTGTACAAGATACCCCGATCAAATTTTATGTGTATGTAGCTTAAACTAAAAAGATAACTATTTATTAGCCAATATAGTTGTTATCTCAGCTCCAATTAGCCATTAGCAAAGAAGAGACCAGAATCCAAAGTCTAAAATGCACTGAACTACAATATCCCATGAACAAACTCACCATCCCATCTATTAGTAAGACACCAGCAGACTATTCTGAGAAGAGCAGTAGTCAGTAGTCCCATATGATAACTCGAAGGAACGGATAATTCAACACTGGAAACCATATTTCGTAGCCAACATTAAACTTGCATCAATTTATGCAAGCTTGCTGCAAAAACAGCGCAAACTGATTGCTGCACATTCCATCAACAGGTACTAACTAGTTCCACTTATCTATAGTAGACTCACGAGCTGTATGCTTAGGGTGTGGCGTTGGTTGATGTACTCGTTTTTGTTGTATCATCAACTGTGGACTTGGGTCTGTACCCATCCCCTTTCTATATAATATGGTACGCACACTCGTGCGTATTCGAGAAAAAAACTAGTTCCACTTGCCAGCAAAGGTGTAAATTTCCGCAAGTAAGATAAATGTGTTAGATATCCCCTCAAGAAACAGGTTTCTCTCTGCAAATGTTTCAAACTGCTATTCTTCTGAGATGATTCAGGCTATGACCAACTTGGCGCAGGCAGCATATCTGCTTTTCATAGAGTAGAGCCTCACTTGCTTAATAATCTGTAATATTTCTGGGAAAGTGACGTACAGCTTCTACCCAGTACTGGGGGTTATCTGTTTTTGTGTGAACTATCAAGGCATGTAATAGGTGTTGGTGGCATCAGGTTTCCACCCCATAGTTTGTGCTCGAGGCCAAGCGCAAACAGTGGGTTTCCTGACAGTGCCTGAACTCATTTTTCTCTTTATTCCAACTCCTATGGACCAGTAATTATGCACAGGCACTTGTTTATCAACAACAGATTCAGTTTAGGCCATTCCACACTGCACAGCTCAAATGCTCAATTTGTAAAAGCGATTATAAAGCGCACAAATCCTTATGCCTCATATGGTCGGACCACAAGACAGATGAATTCAAACGTAAATCGTTGCAATTGAGATAAATATATCGCTATATTGAATTTATTTCTACTTCCTTGCAAGGAATTCCCAGATGCAGTTATATCTGAACCACCAGTATCCTCGATTGGACAGGTCCAAGTCACACAAGCTAGAGAAAGGCTACCGACCGGTGGAGTTGCAGCCGTTGGTGGTGTCGCCGAAGGCGTGGATGTGGAAGCCGTGGAGGCCCGGGGCGAGGCCCGAGACCCTCCCCCTCACCTCGGTATACCCTAGCACGCACAGGGAGATCAAACTGTATCACTCTTATCAGCGAGAAGAGCGCGGCTTAGGACCGCTGTAGAGAACATGGAGTAGAGTGAGCATATACCGGAGGAGGGGTCTTGGACGAAGTGGAGGGCGCCGGCGACAGCGCTGTCGGCGCCACCGCCGCTGATGAGGGCGACACCCTTGAGGCTGCCGGGTTTCCCTGCCATTTCTTCCTGCCCTTTGTCGCCTCGGTGCAGAGCGGATCGCTTTTCCCCCTCTTCGCCGGCTCTGCCTCTCGTTTCTGTTTTTTTTTTCTTTTTGATAGAATCGTTTCTGGCTTATCATTAGCTATTCCGTCGCTTGTTTCTCAAAAAAAAAAACATCTGTCGCACTGTGTCAAAAAACGTTCTTATATTATTATGGGACGGAGGGAATAATTTCCAATGGAAAGTTTCAGGTGGTCAGACCACATGAGCTTCTTTTTTTTTCTTTTTAATAGAGCGGCCTTTTAAAGCAAAATTCAGACCTAGTGGTATTCATCAATTGTCAAGGTAGCACAAATAACACCCGAAGTAAAAATCACCTAGCGATGACAACAAGCACTGTAACGAGCCGAAGGCGCGCCGCCGTCATCGCCTCTCCCTCACCGGAGCAGCGCAAACCCTGTTATAGTAGATAGTCGGGAAGTCGTCGTGCTAAGGCTTTGCAGGATCAAGACACCAGAATAGCAACCACCACTGATGAAGAGAAGTATAAATTAAAAAGATCCAACCTGTAGACACACAAACACATAAGAACAAAGACTGGATCCATGTGAATCCATCGAAGACAAGCGCCAACCCAATCCTACGAGATTCGCCGGAGAAAGACCTTCACACGCCCTCCGATGGCGCTAGAAACTTCACTAGGACGGAGGCTAGGCAGGGAGAGCCTTATTCCGTCTTCAAATAGCCATCGCATCGCCTCTCCGAGCAGGACACAAGCCACCAAAACTCAAAAGAGCATCCAAAAACGAAGCCCACCAATAGACAAGGCCCGGGATACACTGTGTCTCCATGGCCCTAATGCCACAGGAGACAAGGTTGATTGTCGTTGGTGCGGGCAGGAGGCACGGAAGCCCTAGCGGCTGGGTGCCCTTGCGTATGAGCGAAGGGGTGCAAGCGTGAGATGCCTTCTCTTAATAAAACAATCTTAATCGTAAGAATAACTCAAGCTTAAGTGGAGCTAGCGCTTCACAAGATGAGACAAGTGAATGGTCCAGCCTTAAGCTAAGTATAGGCCGATACCAACTCGCCCAACCATAAATCCGATCACATGTATCTCTTTGGCCTTCTATTGAATCGAATCGAGAAATTAAATTGCACACATTTTATCTTATTGATTCTTATATCGATTTTGATACATCCTGATGGATAGTGCAAATCGAAGCTATGAGAGGCTTGATGACAAAAAGGAAATAGAGAAGAGAATGAATGAGAACATAACTTTGCATTTGGTAAGTCTTGTAGTTTAGGGGGAGAATCTGCACACGAATGTGATCTCATTTTTGAAAGAGATTTGATCAATTATATAAAGAAAATCAGATCGAAAACCTTAACAATCCGAGGGCAATACAACTCGCCAAAGTAAGAACACAGAAAATACAAAACACCAATAACATAGTTACAACACAACACAAGGATCACCTTCTAGAGTTGAGAATAGGTGGTTGGGTGATGCAACACAAGTTATGTCATAAGCACATACAATAGACCACTAGCAAAAACAGGGATGTGGTCGAGGTAGCACATTACACCATGAGACAGGAAGAGGAAAATTCAAAATGACATAGGCTAAGAGCTCCAACAGTAGCAATACTGAAGCCACCGACACGGAACACCACAAGGTGCCATCAATAAGAAGTTGCACGATGACCAAACCTGAGCCATCCAACACACAACGGAAGGGTGCCCTTGCGTGTCTCGAGTTGCAGATGATGACATGAGAAGACTCAGGCCCATCGAGCATGCACAAAGAAGATACCAATTCTCCACCGAAGGGGAGCATTGCCCAAGGGGGTGGGGGAGAATGAGCGATGGAGAAGTGACACGCCCTCAAAGAGTGTCACTGGAGAAATTATCTCAATCACGGATATGTGTTACTAGTTAGGGATTAGTTCACCCTCGAGGCTCAGTGTATGTAACAGTGGCTATGTGTTTGATCTCTCTCTCTCTCTCTCTCTCTCTTGTGTTCTTGATTTGGCACGATCTTGATGTACTGGGAGCTTTGTTGATATATTTGGATTTTATGGTGTTCTTCCCTCTCTACCTTCTTGTGATGAATTGAATGTTTTCCTTTGAGGTTTTGTTATGTCGGATTGAATCTTTTGGATGTGAGAGCACTTGATGTATGTCTTGTGATGAGATATCCGTGGTGACAATGGGATGTTCTATTGATTCAGTTGATGTATGTTTCGGTTATCAACTTGCGGACTCCCGTGGTGAGATTGGGGTAATCTATGCATAGGAGTTGATACGCGTTTTTATATTCCTTTCTCCGATAAGAAATTTTTGAGTACTCTTTGAAGTTCTTTCTGTTGGATTGAATATTATGAATCTGAAATTGTGTGATGCACGTTGTATAATTAACCCACGGATACTTGTGGTGACATTGGAGTATCTAGGCGACATTAGGATTTATTGATGCGTGTCATATGGTGTTATTTTAGTACAAACTCTAGGGTTGTTTGTGACACTTATAGGAATAGCTCAAAAGATTGATTAGGAATAATAACTTTGAGGTGGTTTCGTACCCTACAAACAATTTCATCTTATGTTCTTCGCGATAGGAACTTTGGAGTGATTCTTTGTTGCACGTTGAGGGATTGTTATATAATCCAATTATGTTATCATTGTTGAGAGATTTTGCACTAGTGAAAGTATGAACCCTAGGCCTTGCTTTCAAGCATTGCAATACCGTTTTTACTCGCTTTTGTTACTAGTTACTGTTGGGGAACGCAGTAATTTCAAACAAAATCCTACGCACACGCAACATCTATCTAGGTGATGCATAGCAACGAGAGGGGAGAGTGTTGTCCACGTACCCTCGTAGATCGTAAGCGGAAGCGTTATGACAACGCGGTTGATGTAGTCGTACGTGTTCACGATCCGACTGATCCTAGTGTTGTGGAACACAGTAATTTCAAAAAAAAATCCTACGCACATGCAAGATCTATCATGGTGATGGGTAGCAACGAGAGGGGAAGAGTGTTGTCCACGTACCCTCGTAGACCGTAAGCGGAAGCGTTATGACAACGCGGTTGATGTAGTCGTACGTCTTCACGATCCGACCGATCCTAGTACCGAAAGTACGACACCTCCGCGATCTGCACACGTTCGGTTCGGTGACGTCCCACGAACTCTCGATCCAGCTGAGTGTCGAGGGAGAGCTTCGTCAGAACGACGACGTGATTAGGGTGATGATGAAGCTACCGGCGCAGGGCTTCGCCTAAGTACTATGACGATATGACCGAGGTGGATTATGGTGGAGGGGGGCACTGCACACGGCTAAGGGATTAATGATCAACTTGTGTGTCCATGGGGTGCCCCCTGCCCCCGTATATAGAGGAGCAAGGGGGAGGCCGGCCGACCCTTGGAGGCGTGCCAAGGAGGGGAGGAGTCCTCCTCCTAGTAGGAGTAGGACTCCCCTTTCCTAGTCCTACTAGGAGGAGGAAGGGGGAAGGAAGGAGAGTGGGAGAAGAGAAGGAAAGGGGGCGCCGCCCCCCTTCCCTAGTCCAATTCGGACTAGAGGGGAGGGGGCACGCGGCTCTTCCTTGGCCGGACCTCTCTCTCTCCACTAAGACCCATGTGTCCCATTAGTTCCCCCCGGGGGTTCTGATAACCCCCCGGCACTCCGATAATTATCCGGTGACCCCCGGAATTCATCCGGTGTCCGAATATAGTCATCCAAAATATCAATCTTTATGTTTCGACCATTTCGAGACTCCTCGTCATGTCCGTGATCATATCCGGGACTCCGAACTACCTTCGGTACATAAAAACACATAAACTCATAATACCGATCGTCACCGAGCGTTAAGCGTGCGAACCCTATGGGTTCGAGAACTATGTAGACATGACCGAGACACGTCTCCAGTCAATAACCAATAGCGGAACCTGGATGTTCATATTGGTTCCCACATATTCTATGAAGATCTTTATCGGTCAAACCGCATAACTATATACGTTGTTCCCTTTGTCATCGATATGTTACTTGTCCGAGATTCAATCGTTGGTATCTCAATACCTAGTTCAATCTCGTTACCGACAAGTCTCTTTACTCGTTCCGTAATGCATCATCCCGCAACTAACTCATTAGTCACATTGCTTGCAAGGCTTATAGTGATGTGCATTACCGAGAGGGCCTAGAGATACCTCTCCGATACTTGGAATGACAAATCCTAATCTCGATCTATGCCAACTCAACAAACACCAGCTGAGACACCTGTAGAGCATCTTTACAGTCACCCAGTTACGTTGTGACGTTTGACAGCACACTAAGTGTTCCTTCGGTATTTGGGAGTTGCATGATCTCATAGTCATAGGAACATGTATAAGTTATGGAGAAAGCAATAGCAACAAACTAAACGATCATCGTGCTAAGCTAACAGATGGGTCAAGTCAATCACATCATTCTCTAATGATGTGATCCCGTTAATCAAATGACAACTTATGTCTATGGTTAGGAAACATACCCATCATCGATTCAACGAGCTAGTCAAGTAGAGGCATACTAGTGACATTCTGTTTGTCTATGTGTTCACACATGTACTAAGTTTCCGGTTAATACAATTCTAGCATGAATAATAAACATTTATCATGATATAAGGAAATATAAATAACAATTTTATTATTGCCTCTAGGGCATATTTCCTTCAGTCTCCCACTTGCACTAGAGTCAGTAATCTAGATTACATTGTAATGATTCTAACACCCATGGAGTCTTGGTGCTGATCATGTTTTGCTCGTGAGAGAGGCTTAGTCAATGGGTCTGCAACATTTAGATCTGTATGTATCTTGCAAATCTCTATGTCTCCCTCCTTGACTTGATCGCGGATGGAATTGAAGCATCTCTTGATGTGCTTGGTTCTCATGTGAAATCTGGATTCCTTTGCCAAGGCAATTGCACCAGTGTTCTCACAAAAGATATTTATTGGACCCGATGTACTAGGTATGACACCTAGATCGGA